TCCGTGCCCCTGCCCAGGCCCGACCTCGTGGACTTCAGCAAACTCGCCAAGTCCAACGCCAACTACAACCTGCAGAGGGCCTTCCGCACGGCGGAGCAGCACCTGGGGCTGGCGCGGCTGCTGGACCCTGAAGGTGAGCCCCGAGGGGCCCAGCCCGGACCCCAGCCCGCGGCCATCTCGGACTCAGTTCCGTCCTGCCCCGCGCCCTCCAGTCCCGCGGCCGGTCTTCCCTCTCCGGCCCAGCGCGGGCCCCGCCGCCTTTCTTCTGGCCGTCCCCTCCCTCCGCAGCCCCACCCTTAGCCAGCCCCCGCTCCCAGCCCAGCCCCCGCCCCCAGCCCTGCACCATTTCCAGCCCCTCTCAAGCCCCAGGCGCCATCCTCAACGTCGTCCCGATCGTCTCCCCAGCTGCGATGCTGCCCGCTCCCCGACCCCACAGCCGCGCGCTGTCTGTCCCGCTCCCCGCGTCTGCAGTGTGGCCCCGCTCAGGCCTGTCGTTCCCGTCCGTGCTCACGTCCAGCCCCAGCACCCCGCGCCCGCATGCCCGGAAGGACTGCGGCTCCCTTTCTCTGAGCCGCTTTGCCCAACACAAGGCTGCGGTGCTATCGCGGCTCTTCCCTTTCCTCTCGCGGTGCCCTGGCACGGTAGGCTCCAGCAGCCCTGTTTTAAAGAGGTGGAGATGAAGGCTCAGGGAAGTGAAGTCCCTTGCCCGCTAAACTGCTAAACTCGGTGACCTGGAACTCACAGGCTCAGTGAGTCTGCTGCCCGGCCTCTGAGGGCCGGATTCTGTGCGCAGTGCCGGCGCTTTGTAGGTGTCTGCGGATGTCAGTTTCTTGAAACGATGAAGAACGAGGGCCAAGAACAATGTTGTGGCCGGACATGGTGGCCTCTGCCTGTGTAACCCCAGCACTCTGAGAGGCTGAGGCAGGAGGATGCCAAGTTTAAGCCTAATCTGGGCAGCATAGCCAGATCTAATATCGAAACAAAAAAAAATCAAAACAGCTGGGGATATAGTTCAGGGCAAAGCTAAATAATAATAATAATAATAATAATAATAATAATAATAATAATAATATAATAACGTTGTACATTCAATGGGCTATTTACTTTTGGTCTTTTTGAGACAGGGTCTTGCTATGCTGTTCAGGCTGGCCTTGAGCTCACTTTGGAACCCAGGCTGGTCTCGAACTTACCACGATCCTCCTGCCTCAGCCTCCTGAGTGCTGGGATTACAGGTGTGAGCCACCACGCCCGGCTCAATGGGTAATTTAAATGACATCAGAATTTGTTGATTTTTGGAGAGCCTCTTTTCTGCCAGCCTGTCCTCTCTAATCTCACAGTGTTCCTGGGAAGCAGCAAATATGCTTATCCTTACTGTCACAGGGGGGAAACTGAGGTTCAGAGAAGTTGGATCCATGTTCTAAGCATGTGGAGTAACAGGAGTACATGGCTGAGCCGACATTCAAGCACATGCTGCCTTCAAAGCCCCAGTCCTGGGCTTCAGGTCTTTTACACACACCATTCATACATTTAGTGGATATTTACTGAGCTCCAACTCTGTGTATTAGGAATAGCAGGAACCATGTTTTTAAAAAGACAGGGACAGTTGGTCACGAGGAGCTCAGTCTCTAGATAATAACTTAATCACTTTGCTGAATGTATAATTACAACTTGTGATACATTCTGGGAAGGAAATAATAAGACCTTAGGAGATAGAATAACATGCAGAGACCAACTCTAGGCAGGGTGAACAAGGAGGCTTAATTGGGGAAATTTGAGTTGAATGCTGAATGGGAGACAGGCACACAGAGAAAGGAATAGTGTTCCAGACAGTGAAAACAGCATGTGCAAAGGCCCTGAGGTGGAAAGAATGGTGTGTTTGAGAAATTATATTTTTCTATGGTTTGTATGTGTCAGGTACTGTTGAATCCCATAAGGTAGACCCCCACTGAGCAGGTAAAACACTGAGAAATGTAGACGGGGTCTTGCCCAAGGTCATAGTTAGTAAGAGTCACACTGTTGCTCCCTCACCCCCTTTCCCCCCAGATGTGAACATGGAGGCCCCAGATGAGAAATCCATCATCACCTATGTGGTCTCTTTCTACCACTATTTCTCCAAGATGAAGGCTCTGGCTGTGGAGGGGAAGCGGATCGGGAAGGTAGGAGAAGCCAAGGGATGGGGCGAGTGGAAACCTGGGCGCCGGCTGGGGGTGTATTGAGGGTGACCCCGGCTTCCTTGCCGGTCAGGTGCTGGACCAGGTGTTGGAGGTGGGAAAGATCATAGAGCGCTACGAGGAGCTGGCGGCCGAGCTGCTGGCCTGGATCCACCGCACCATTGCCCTCATCAGCAACCAGAAGTTTGCCAACTCCCTGAGCGGGGTGCAGCAGCAGCTGCAGGCTTTCACGGCCTACTGCACACTGGAGAAGCCCGTCAAGTGAGGCCCTGAGGCCCTCAGGAGGAGAGCGGTGGGTGCGGACACGGGACAGGGCTCCTGAGCCTGTGTCCCTTCAGGTTTCAGGAGAAGGGCAACCTGGAGGTGCTGCTCTTCAGCATCCAGAGCAAACTCCGGGCCTGCAACCGTCGCCTCTTCGTGCCTCGGGAGGGCTGCGGCATCTGGGATATAGACAAGGTCAGTCTGGGGAGGAGAGGAGAAGCGAGGCTGCTTTGTGGAGTTGTATAGGTTGTGCACTGCTCAAGGGAGCCTTTTACATTATAGAGTTGATGGATTGAGTCTTCATTCTGGCTTTTTTTTTTTTTTTTTTTTTTTTGAGACAAGGTCTCGCTCTGCAGTTCAAGCTGGTCTTGAGCTCACTTTGTAGCCCAGGCTGGTCTTGAACTCATAAAGATCCTCCTGCCTCAGCCTCCTGAGTGCTGGGATTACAGGCATGCACCACCACACCCAGCCATTCTGGCCATTTCCCAGCAGTAGTTTGACAACATTTTTGCTCATTTTCCTAAGGGTTCCGTACATACTCTTGAGTGGTCTCACAGATGCCAGGGCCATGAAACGGGGGACTTGTTGGAGTCTAACTGTTTCCTCGACTCCCCCAGGCATGGGGCCAGCTGGAGAAGGCGGAGCATGAGCGGGAGGCTGCCCTGCGGGCCGAGCTGATCCGACAGGAGAAGCTGGAACTCCTGGCCCAGAGGTTCGACCACAAGGTGGTGATGAGGGAGAGCTGGCTGAACGAGAACCAGCGCCTGGTCTCCCAGGTACAGCAGCGGGGCCGGGCTGCGGGGGGGAAAGCAGAGGAGGGCAGGGCTCATGGCCCTGGACGAGACAGGGACACTGGATCTCCAAAGCAGCAGGGAAGGGCTGTCCCAGTCTCCTTGGTGACAAGGGAAGGTGGGAAGGGGGTCCTCAGAAATCGGTCTCCTAATTGATTGGTGGGTGAGGGGAGTGGGCCCGATCTCCAGATACCAAGGGGGTGAGGCTGTCTCTGAGCTACTGGAGAGGGCAGAATTACTGTCTTCAGAAATACGGGGGTTGTTTCCTCTCTTATGAGACAAGGGAGGTTGTAGTTGGTGTCCAGGGTAACTCATGAGGATAGAATTAGTTTCCAAGTAACAGAATATAGCAAACCTTATTCCCAGTCTCCAAGACAGTGGAAAGAGGGGGCCTGTCTCTTGGGTAACCAATATGGGGTTAGAGATGTAACAAGAGAGGGTGAGACTGGTCTCCAGGGTAACAGAGAAAGTGGGTCGGTCGGTCTCCAGGGTAACGGGGAGAGGAGATGAGACTGGTCTCCAGGGTAACAGGAGAAGGTGAGACTGATTTCCAGGGTTACCGGGGAGGGTGGGACTGGTCTCTAGGGCAACTAGGGTGTGGACCTAGTCTCCAAGGTGATGGGTGGAGAGTGTTGGGGTCACCCAGGGTCAAGGTAACAAGTGCACGCTGAGGCAACATGGTGAGTGTCTGTGGCCTGCGCTACCCAGGACAACTTTGGGTACGAGCTGCCGGCAGTGGAGGCAGCCATGAAGAAGCACGAGGCCATTGAGGCGGACATCGCAGCCTACGAGGAGCGGGTGCAGGGTGTGGCGGAACTGGCGCAGGCGTTGGCAGCCGAAGGCTACTATGATGCCCGGCGGGTGGCCGCTCAGCGTGACAGCGTCCTGCGCCAGTGGGCCCTGCTGACCGGACTAGTAGGTGCCCGGAGAAGCCGGCTCGAGCAGAACCTGGCCCTGCAGAAGGTCTTCCAGGAGATGGTCTACATGGTGGACTGGATGGAGGAGATGCAGGTGGGGACCAGAGCAGGTCCGGGATGGGGCCCTGGGAGGGGTGGGAGGGGTATGGACCCCCAGCCAGTTGACAAAGAGGTGGAGGCTGGGGTAGAAGGGGAGAGACAGAAAGAGATCAGGGGCCGGGGATATAGCTCAGCGGTATAACGCCTGCCTGGCAAGTGCAAGGTCCTGAGTTCTTTTTTTTTGTCTTTTTGAGACAGAGTCTCATTATGCAGTTCAGGCTGGCCTTGAGCTCACTTTGTAGCCCAGGCTGCTCTTGAACTCGAGATGATCCTCCTGCCTCAGCCTCCCAAGTGCCAGGATTACAGGCATGCATCACCACGCCTGGCAAGGTCCTGAGTTCAATTTCTGGTACCAAAAGAAAAAAAAAGAAAGAAAGAAAGAGATGAGGAAGCCAGAGAGACCAAGAGAGTGAGCAAGCAAAAGCTCATGAGAAAGATATGGGACAGAGGAGACAGGTAGAAAAAGACAAGCTGGGCATGGTGGTGCATGCCTGTAATCCCAGCTACTAAGGGGGCCAAGGCAGGGGGTTCACAGGGATAAGCCCAGACCGGGTGACCTACGGAGACCCTGTCTCAAAGTAAAAATGAAGGGACGTAGCTAGGTAGTAGAGGATTCACCTAGAAAGTACAAGACCCTGGCCCTAATCCCCTGGGGTGGGGAGAGAGAGGGGGAGAAGGGGGAGAGAGAGCTTGGAAAGGGGGAGGGAGAGGGGGAGGGAGAGATGTTAAGCCAGTGGAAGAGTGACAGTTTGAGGCAGAAGAGAAACCAGAGATAGAGCCAGAGAGGCAGACATGAGGTTGACACTGGAAATCTCTGTGCCTACACGTTGGCAGATGAAGCCTGTTTGAGAAAGAGACCCTTACCCGGGATAAAGGATACAGATGAGACACCGTGACAGAGGGAGAGCGCAGACATGGGGAGACGGGACAGCCGGGCACATTCAGAGAGGAGACAGAAGGAGACACGCTGGGGAGACACGGGGAGGAGTCAGAGGTTGGAGGGGGCGGATGGCCCTGAGGCAGTGCTGAGCTGTGCTCAGGCTGCCCGCCGGCCTCCCCAACCCCGCAGGCTCAGCTGCTGTCCCGGGAGTGCGGGCAGCACCTGGTGGAGGCGGACGACCTGCTGCAGAAGCATGGGCTGCTGGAGGCAGACATTGCGGCCCAGAGCGAGCGCGTGGAAGCCCTCAACGCCGCAGCCCTGCGTTTCTCCCACCTGCAGGGTGAGTTGGGCAGGGATGTGCTAATAGAGGCAAGAGTGACTCCTGAGACAGCAGGAAGGCGTGACCTCCCTGTCCTTGGAGGCATCTAATTCGAGGCCATATCACAGTGCACGCAGGAAATCCTGGAGAGAATTAGTGACCACTCAACTTCCTCCTGCTTTGAGGTGCTACAGTAACTAGGTCCTGTTTATGAGCATTTATGTACCAAGCCCTTCACAATTCAATCTCAGTGAATATCATTTTAAAAATGATATAAGGAGCTGGGCATGGTGACAATGCCTGTAATCCCAGCATTCGGGAGGCTGAGGCAGGAGGATCACTTTGAGTTCAAGGCCAGCCTGGGCTACAAAGTGAGCTCAAGGCCAACCTGAGCTTCATAGTGAGACCCTGTCTCAAAAAGACAAAAGCAAAACAAAACAAACAAACAAAAAACAACATAAGGGACTGGAGATGTAGTGCAGTGGTAGAATGTTTGCCAAGCATGCGCAAGGCCTTGAGTTTTTTTTTTTTTGTACTGGGAATCGAACTCAGGACCTTGTGCTTGCCAAGCAAGGTGCTGTGCCGAAGGCCTTAAGTTTGATCCCCAGCACCAGTATAAAAGAAAACCCACAGGCTGGGTGTGGTGGCGCAAGCCTGTAATCCTAGCACTCGGGAGGCTGAGGCAGGATGATCATTGAGAGTTCAAGACCAGCCTGGGCTACAAAGTGAATTCAAGGCCAGCCTGAACTGCATAGTGAGACCTTGTCTCAAAAAGACAGAAAACAAAACAACAGCAACAATAAAAGGCCCCCTGCAAACAAAAGAAAACTCACAGAACTGTGTAAAGTAGTGGATAGACAGAGGCTCTTCACTGTAAAGTGATATACTTCATTCAGTTGACTTAGAGGATAAAGGGGGGTGGATTGGCTTATGTAATTAAAATGTCCAGGGAGAGACAGTTTGACTTTGGGCATGGCTGGACCCAGGAATGGTTCAGTGATCCTTTTTATTTTATTTTTTCTGATACTGGGAATTGAACCCAGGACTTTTGCACTGAGTTACATCCCCAGACCTTTTAAAATTTTTTAATTTATGTTTTTATGTATTTGAGACTGGGTCTAAGTCCCTGAGTTGCCCAGGCTGGTTTTGAACTTGTGATCCTCCTGCCTCAGTTTCCCAGAGTGCTGGGATTATAGGTTCAATGCTTCCTCTAAGGTTCCATCTGTCTCGGTCACTAGGGTCTATGTAGGTATCCTTAGCCATTCCCTCCCAGCCCCCTAAGGGGCCCAAAAGGAAATAGGTCTCCTTCTCCCAATAGTTCTGACAAAAGTTCTAGGGAAAGCTTTCATTGGCCCACTGCCATTTCCTTCTCCATTGCCTAGCCAATCATTGTGGCCACTGAGCATGCAGTGATCTCATTGGCCACACCAAAGACATCCTCGCCCTGTGGCCAAGAATGAGGTTAGCCCCCTCCAAAGACAAGGACTGAGAAGGAGGAGTGGGAAGCCCTACCGGAAGTAGAGCAAAACCAAGACTAGCTCTAAGAAGGTTGCCATTCGCTGAGGCCAGTGCCCTCTAGGCGAAGACCACCAGAATCCCTCTGTGGTCAAACCAAGTTGGATTTGCTGGTTGTCCGCACACTCCAGGGGGAACGCCGGTGCATCTCAGTGAGGGAGTGCTGCGGAGAGCTTGCTGGTAGGGCTTGGGCTTATGTAGATGACCTGTGGTTCATTCAATTTAATGTAGCGTGTTTGGGTGTGGATGGAATGCTGTTGGGAGGTGGGGTGAATTAGATGAGTGAACATCTTGATTTTAAGCTTTTTCTTTTTTTTTGGTGGGGGAGTGTGCTGGGGGTGGAACCCAGGGCCCAGAGCTACAGCCCAGCCAACCTTCATCATTTGCACTAGGTAGCGGAGGATCAGAGGATTGCTGTCTCAGTCATGTGGCAGCAGTTACTTGCATTAGCTGTGCAAGGAGACGCGTGGTTATTTTGTTTTTTTCTTGTTTTTGTCTTTTTTTTTTTCTTTTTTGAGACAGGGTGTCACTATGCTGTTCAGGCTGGCCTTGAGCTCACTTTGCAGCCCAGGCTGGTCTTGAATTTGCAACGATCCTCCTGCCTCAGCCTCCTGAATGCTGGGATTACAGGTGTGCGCCACCACACCTGGCTTGTTATTTATTTATTTATTTATTTATGAATGAAGACAGGGTCTCACTATGCTGTTTGTAGCCCAGGCTGGTGTTTTTGCCTTTTTGAGACAGCGTTTCACTATGCAGTTCAGGCTGGCCTTGAATTCACTCTGTAGCCCAGGCTGGCCTTGAACTTGCAGAGATCCTCTGGATTCAGCCTTCTGAGAGCTGGGATTACAGGCGTGTGCCACCACTAGGCCTGGCCTATATGGTCACTTAATTTATTTTTTTATTTTTTACTTTTTAATTTTTGTTTTGTTTTGTTTTTTTCTGGTACTGGGAATCGAACTCACGACCTTGCGCTTGCCAGGCAGGCACTGTGCCGCTGAGCTAAATCCCCAGCCCCTATACGGTCGTTTTAATGGCTTGCACGGCCACCTTTATGATTGTGCAGTAGGCTGGGTGTTATCCCTTGGTCAAAGAGTGGCCTTCACTGATGGTATTCTGTCGGATTTCTGGTGCTCATCAGCTAGCTGTAGTTGTGACAGCAGTTGGGCTGGCGTTTGTCTTTCTCATTGAGAAGGAAACTGAGGCCCAGGCCACAGAACTTGTAGGGCGATGAGGGAGTCTGCTGCGGCCCCGTGGGGCCACATCAGATTCTAAGCACAAACATCAGAGTTTCCCTTCAAACCCTGCTGGCCCCACTGAGGACGCCAGCTTGGCTCAGTCCTCTCTCACCCATATCACAGCGGCAGGAAAACTCATGGGACTTGGCCTTCACATCAAGGCATTGTTGTCCCTGGAGGCTCCCTGTCTTCTCCCTGTGAGAGCCCAGTTCCTGGGGACAACTAGTAGCACCAAGAATGCAGCAAAGTGGCCACTGTCGGGTACCTGTTACCTTGGAGATCAGAGGCAGTGCTCCCTGGGGAGTAATCCGCTGTGTGATCCTGAGCGGCTGCTTCTCAGCTGATCTTAGGCATGTTGCTTTCCTTTTCTGCGCCTCAGTTTACTTATCTGTAAAATGGGGCTAATGAGGCTATTAGCTCCATAGGGTAGTTGTGAGGATTAAGAACATCACCAGGGACTAAGGGCTGGTTGCATAGAAGCTTTGTTGTAACATTTATTCAGCTGGACACCTTAGCATTTGAGTCAATATCAGTGAACGCCCAGAACTACAAAAGCCCTGCATTCTATCTAGGGTACTGTCTCTCATACTTTTTTCTTTCTTTTTTTTTTCTTGGTACTGGGAATCGAACTCAGGACCTTACACTTGCCAGGCAGACACTTGTGCGGCTGAGCTACATCCCCGGCCACTTTTTCACCCCAGGGAGAAATCCATTTACCTCATGCCTCAGTGTTCACATGCACACAAATACACACACAGAGATACAAAAGGTTTTTTTTTTTTGAGACAGGTTCTCGATATGTAGCTCAGGCTGGCCTTGAACTCACTATGTAGTCCAGGCTGGCCTCGAACTCATGGTGATTCTCCTGCCTCAGCCTCCCAAGTGCTGAGACTACAGGCGTGCACCACCACACCCGGCCCCAAGTTTTACAAAACAGTACACTACTTCTCCTCACCTTGTGAGCTGCATTCTGATTTTGTTAATTCGTTCTCTTCCGCTAAAGAAAAGCTGGTTGTGACCCACTAATTTTACAATTCTCTAGTCGCAAACCAGAAATTAAGCAGGAAGTTGAATTATTTTGAGGGACAGAGAAGTTCAGGTCACCACTTGAGTTACTAAGGCAACAGAGGAAGAGAGGGGTCCCAGAAACATGGCTTGTGAACAGGGAAGTTTCGTTTGGCCCAGCTTTTGGGGAAATGACATTTACAGTCTAATCCACGGCTTTGAGGTTCTTGGAATCCATTCGTCCTTCAAACACCGCACCCTGTTCTCTAGGCCACTGCTCTGGGCTCCACCCTGTCCTGGCAGTGATGGGCATGCAGTGTGACAAAGAAGCCCCTGGCCCTGCCCGCCGGGAGCTTCCAGTTCCTGGAGGAGACCAATCAGGAAAAGGCATCCAGAGTAGTCAGGCTGCGATGGGGCAAGCAGAGAAGCCAGGGTCCCGAGGAGGTGCTTGCTCCAGCTTGGGGTGTCAGGGCAGGCTGCCTGGAGGAGAGAACTATGACCTGGCACATGATGAAGTCAAACCAAGGACAGGGTAGGTAGCCCACCCCACGTTCTCTCGGCCCGGTCACCAAGTCCTCCCCTTCTGGCCCAGGCTACCAACCCTGCGACCCGCAGGTCATCTGCAACCGCGTGAACCACGTGCACGGCTGTCTGGCAGAGCTGCAGGAGCAGGCGGCGCGGCGACGCGCGGAGCTGGAAGCCTCACGGAGCCTGTGGGCGCTGCTGCAGGAGCTGGAGGAGGCCGAGTGCTGGGCGCGCGACAAGGAGCGCCTCCTGGAGGCCGCGGGCGGCAGCGGCGCGGCG